TCAACAGCAGACAGGCCGATAACTAGTCGACGTGGCTTTGCTCTTATATAATAAATGGTACCCTTTGAGTCAGTTAGTACTCTTGCTTGCGCTTGCTCTCCTAAAACGGATGTACTTGCTCTTATATAATGAATGGTACAAACTCACGCAATCTAACTCATGTAAGTAACAAATTTCAGCCTTGGGGGTTGCCCAAGTGGCGTGAATGACGGGAAACGAATCACGAGTACGATGATATTAGGATTCAATTTCGTTATGTGTACCAAAAAAGTCTAGCTCTTTTACCAGTCGAGCAAAAATATAAGAGATTTGAGTTGTAAATCAAATCGGAGCAAACATCTGCTACCTTTTCAATAATACGTTTAGACCCACAACCATTTCACATGATCAATCGGCATGGTTGGCCATGGCCATGGGCAGCTGACCCGAGTCCGCTGGTGAAGTTAATTAATCTAGCACATAAAATAAAAGCAAGCAGTGGTGGCATGGAGGGGCAAGCTGACAATTTGTTAATCTTATGTATTGTGGCCACATCATAATTCAAAAGCCATCGATGGAAGACAATACCCCTCACTTTTTTTTGGATAAAAAAAGTTTAGGATAAGGGGTGGCTATCTCATTTCAGAGTCAAAGCATATCATAAGCCTCTTTGAGAATTTGCAGAGAGGATCTTAGTCCATTTTTTTGTTTTTACAAATTACCCACCAAGAGGGATTGCCAATAGCAAAACTCGAACTGAAGCTTTGAACTATCAAAGAGACTGATCCTTATCAACTCAATCAACCCTATTGGCACAAAACCTTCACTTTACATTGTATAACTACGAAACTTCACTATATTATTGCCATATTATTGAAGGGGATCCTCCCTTTTGTTCCCTCTCTCTTCTCTTGCAATGTTGCATCTCCATCACACCTGTCTTTTCCCGAAATTTCCCATTCGATGGAAAGGAAGTTCCCTTCTTTTGCTTGCTTTTTTTTTTTCCACAATTAACAATCCCACTTGCAAGTTTTTCTTTCAACACAGACTTGGAATTTGTGTGACAAAAAGCATGGAATAATATTAGTAAGGAGTGTTCTTTTCCAAAACACGTACATTGGAATCAATCCATTTCATTTGTCTTTCATACTGTACATTTGCTTTGGCATGGCGTAAAGCATGGATGATTTACTTTATAACGTCCATACTTAAAAAATAAAATGGCTCTAGGGTTAAAAATTATAGATATAGTGTACATGTGCACGAATCATCAATATTTTTTAATGTATGATATAACCTGCATGTAGTTCGGCTTGTCTAATCTTTTACACACACAAGTTTTTTTCTTTCTTGATTCTAGTTTTCTATGTGTACTGGTTTGCCATCTCTTCTTTATAAATATAATTTAGACCTTTCTTCATAATTTGACGAAAGAGATCATGTTTTTTTACACATATATTTGTTGGTTCACTCGGTAATATATTTCAAATGATCCAATCATTTATCTTTTATGTCTTACCTTAAAGATTATGTCCACCAAAAATCACCCGACCCCAAAATCATATGACCGTTTGGATTAGATTTAGTGTTTCTTTGTAGAACCATATCCGTTTATTTTCTTCATTGCAAATGAATATTTTAATAATTTTAGTTTTGTCTAACTCTTTACAAGTATGATATATGAATGATGTACTAAATATAGATGGTTCATATCGTTAAAATACATTACGAAATAGACCATGTAAAATAAATATCAAAATGTGTGTATCCAGATCTAACCAATTATGTATATAAATATTAAAAATTACTTATCATGAAACATAAAATATTAGTTGTTACTCTGATATATTTGAAAAACAATAGTGATGGGAACATCAATTTTGGTACCTCTCATTCACAATAAAAATAAAAATAAAAAAAAGTTTTTGCTTCGTGTGATGCAACTCATCATGAACATGAAGTAGATAGTTGAATTTAAATTTTAGAAATGTGTAGGTTTTGTGTTCCTATCATTAAAAATATTGAAAAAATGTACATAAACTTCATTTTCTATCATATCAATAGAGACGTGCAAGAGCCTGAATATTCATAAGGATAAGATCATATCGTAAAAACTAATTATATACGCTACTTACGATTTGTTTAATGCTCGTTTCTTTATCCATCATCCTTCTTTTTGCATCTTACTGACTAAAAATTTGAATCTAATTCTTGTGACGGATTAATCACGTCTTAATTAATTATGTAATCACTGACTAATAAACTTGTCACGCTAGACGTTGAACAAATAATAAGTTTCTTCCCCTCCTCGTAAGATTCATTTTTCTGTAATTAATTAGCTGATTTCCACTTAGTTCGATTGGACAGGAAAGTGTGGCCGGCCTTTGCAATGAATTCAAATTTTCTTTATGTAGTTTTGTTTGCCAAATGAATTTTTTTTTTTTTTCGACATCAAATCTTCTGCACTCAAAACTCTATTTTTTTTTTTAGAAAGAATAAGTAAAAAAAGAAAAAAAGAAAAAACAAAGAAAAAAAGAAGGGAGGGGTAGGGATTAGTTACAGATATTTGATTGTATCTCTAATCTTCTTCCCCCTTCCCATATCAATAGCTAGAATGAAAAAAAGGGGAATATCAACGCATCCGGAAAAAAACGATTGATCTCTATCAATAAACCTGCTAAAGACCCGAACCATAGAGTACTTACTACCGGTGCCACGGAGAGATATGTTTTTAGATCTCGCATTTTAAAAACTCCTCTTTCTGTATTCGTTATTGTAATTTTATTGTAATTTGTAATACATATATGACCGGATGTGTATATGTAGTTAATGACTTATCACTTGTACGCGGAGTTCCTAATTTGGCCTCTTTGTGATCTATCTCAATTGAACTCGTTTAGGATTGATTGTTATCTTATTACGAATAAGAGGAGATGTCTGTGTAGATATAAATTCAAAGCTACACCTAACTTTGGAGGCCATGGTAGTCACATTAATTAAGCCTTAGCCAGTTTTAAGTAAAAAATCAGTTGAATTATTGTGGACCCTTGAGTATGGACCAACTTAATTAGCTACTTTTCAAACCACAAAATATTTACTCACATTATGTTAATGTTTCTAAAAGCTTTCATTTTTCACTCACACACTCATAATTTAATAATAATTTAGGGAAAATTAGAATCTCTTACAATTTTTTTGTATCATTTTGATTAAACATCTTGATTTTTTTAAAATTGGATTAAAGTGCTTTGACAAATAATCATCTCTATTTTTTAAAATTAAAATAATTTTTGAATTTATCCTTTTATCTGCATGATGCACTTTTCCTTATTTAGTGGAGATATTAGTAATTAAACTATATTTTCTCTTCTTCCAAATAAGTTTTTTTGATCATAGTTTTTTTTTTTTTTGTTATGCAAACATTTAATATTATTTCTTTTTCCAAATGGTTTTTTCTTTTTCAAATAGTTGGTGATCAACATAAAAGCTCCGTGTAATTTTTTTCAATTTTTTTGTGAAATTATATATATATATATATATATATATATTTTTTTTTTTGCTTTGTTTTTAAGTATAGTTGTTGACAAATTATTATTAGGTACAATACAATACGTATATATTATCTGCAGGTACGTTTGAATTTACAAAAATAATTAATTGGTATGTTTATTTGCAATTTTGGTACGTTTGATTTGATATTGTTAATATTGATACATTATTTTTATTTTGGTATGTTTTATTTTGTACACATTTACGTTTATATTATTCTCAATCCTATTTTCTTTTAATGTACTAAAAGAAAAACTTATTTTTGTACGTTTGATTTTGGGAGATTTAAAAATATTTTAAACTATTTTGGAAAGAAAATATGTTAAATCGTAGATAATTATTGTTAAATTGTAGCATTATTGTGAAAATAAATTGAATCTAACCAACTTTTTTTTTTCACAATTATCTCTAACGGAGGAGAGTGTAATCAAAATGTTAGATTATAGGAAATTTGTTACAATATAATGTGCATATAGCACCAAAATTATGACCAAAAAAAAAAAGTTTAATCAAATCACTAAAAGACATAGATGTTTTATCTAGAAAATTCAAAACTGAAGGGCCTATATCAAAAGATCTCATAATTTAAATGTTAAAAGTATCCTTCTTTGAAATTACTTAAACTTTAAAAGTATCATTAGCCGATGATTCGTAAAAACAAATCAATCAAGTTGCGTGTTATTGGAAGAGGACCAACCGGTAGAAGTAGTCAAAGTCATCCTGCAGACTACTTTTTTATGATGACGTGGTCAACCGTAACCAGTCCCCTCAACCATAATTGACTTTTAAACTCACTAATTTGAAGCCAACTAAGCTTTTAACTAACACCCACATGCTTCATAACCATCAATTACTATACTTTAGTACGAGTTTGATTGAAAATAATTTTTTAGTGACGATCATAGTCATATATGGTGTTATTCATTCAAGTCTTAAAAGATTAATTTAAGAGTTAGTGTAGAAGTGTTTTTAGGATGATTGAAAGTTTTGTTAGAGAAAATGTTTTTGAAATTAATTCTTAGTAAAAATCCAAGTTGATCTTTAAAAAGCACTTGAATAATTTATGCAAGAAGCACATGTCTGTCGTTTATTCTAAAAAGTACTTTAAGTGCTTTTGGAATCCAAAATTAATATGACCAAAGCAGTTTCGGTCATTTTAAAAGCAAAGCATTTCTAAACGAATCCTAAATTTCTAGTGTATAATATCAACAACAATTTTTTCTTTATATGGTCATTTTTAAACTCGTGAAAAAAAAAAAATCAATGAACAAACAAATGGAGGATTACACAAAGAGAAAATACATGTACATAAATAATTTTTTGTATTAATAAATAATATGTATGATTACATAACGTAAAGAGAACGCTGGATTGTTACATTGGAAAAGATTACTCGTTAGTGAGTCACGCTCATCCAACCCATAGCCTTTTGGCTTCAAAATAATCCATCATTATTCATATATGCACCAAACCATCGAGTTTCTCACTCCCTTACGTAAATTCCCCCCAAAGCAACCTTACCTCTCTTTCTCTCTTCCTCTATCTATCTCACACACACATACATCCTCTCTCTCTCTTTCTCTCACACACACACAAACTAAAAGAGGTGCTGCAGTTTACTCCTTTCCAATTTGTTACTTGAAAGCACTCCATTGACAACCCCTTGAATCTTCACACTTCATAATTCAAAAACCCTATATTTCTTCCCACTTCTCTCTCTCTCTCTTCTAACTTGCTGCAGCCACCACATCACAACTCAAATCATGATGTCTTCTGTATTTGTTTTCCTACTCACTGTTTCCTTCCTCGCAACTCCATCATCCTCCGCAACCACCTCCTTCGTCTTCGGCGGCTGTTCCCAGCAAAAATACCTTCCGGGTTCGCCCTACGAGTCGAAAGTCAACTTGGTCCTCACCTCCCTGGTCAACTCAGCCATGTTCTCCACCTACAACAACTGCACCTTCCCCGGCAGCAGCTCCGCCGGCTCCCAGGACATCCTTTACGGCCTCTTCCAATGCCGCGGCGACCTCAGCAGCAATGACTGCTCCCAGTGCGTCGCTCGCGTGGTGAGTCAACTCGGCACCCTATGCGTCAACTCCTGCGGCGGCGCGTTGCAGCTCGAGGGCTGCTTTGTGAAGTACGACAACGCGACGTTCTTAGGGGTGGAGGACAAGACACTGGTGGTTAAGAAATGTGGGCCGTCGAATGGGTTTGACTCGGATGCGTTGACCGACCTGGATGCCGTGCTGGCGAATCTGGGGACAGGAGATGGGACCTACAAGCCATACAGGGTTAGCGGCTCCCGGAATGTTCGGGGCGTGGCGCAGTGTGTCGGGGATTTGAGTCCGAGCGAGTGCCAGGATTGTCTGTCGGGAGCCGTCGGACAGCTCAGGTCCGGGTGCGGGACCAGCTCGTGGGGCGACATATTCTTGGCTAAGTGCTACGCGCGCTACTCGGAAAGTAGATATAACTCGAATGATAACTCGAACGACGGTCATGGTAAGATGTTTCGCCACCCTGGATGGTGGTTTCCTCCTTCTAGTTTTTGGTTATTTATTATCTGAATGGTTGTTTTGGTAAATTCACTTTTCTTCTGATTATTCTCTCCTTTTTTTCGTTTTTATGTATTAGTGTATTTAATTAGTGAGTAGGTTTGGTTTAATGTACTAATTAATTATGCTCGTGTTGTGTATGTGTTGCTAAGGGAGGTGTTTGGTGGTGATTAGGAATATCCAAGTACTTTGTTTTTCAGAGTGGTTGTTACGTTCAGTTTGATCGATGATGGATTTGCAGTTTAGGAGACCAAGTATTGAGCACTTTGGCTCTCATTACATAAACATCACGCATGAATATGTTCTTCTTTTCTTTTCATGATGGGACGTTGGATGGGAAAATTGTTATCGACATTCTTAATTGTCATGTATTTTTTTTTTTTTTTATTTTATATATAGAAGATGAGTGTGTGATGATTATTTTTTGGGCACTTTTAATGTCAATGGTATTTTTCGCTAAATGAACTTTGGGAAAAAAAAAAAAAAAAAAAAAACCGTAAAGATGCCTAAGATTAGGTTATATGGTAAATAATAGGACTTTTTCGTGTTTCAAAAAGCTCGTAGTTTCCTTTTTAGTTTGCATGTCAATAGGATAAATGAGGCCCATTTTACTATTTTAGCACGAAAGTAGTGATATTCAGATTACTTGAAGCAAGTCCGAGTAATTTTACCCAAATGATATATTTTATACTATATTTGTATCATTTTTTAAATAAAAATAGAGTTCGCCAATATATCAAAATCTCATCAACCAAGCTTAATTGCATCGAATCACCATATTAATCATTGATTTTATTGCATGATTGTTACTTTAATCTGTTTGCTGTACGTGCATAAAGGTGAACTGTTTACGTAGTGTTTGATGTTCTTGTTTCCTTTTTTGTTTTTGTTTTTTGTTCTGCTTTAGATCATGATGATCATGATGATGACGATAACAATGACGATCTTGACAAGACACTTGCAATACTCATCGGAATCCTAGCAGCCGCCGCACTGGTCACCGTAGTTGTTTCCCACTACTGGAAAAAATTGGACCGCGATGAAAAAGGTACAAATCAAAGGCTCTTTCTCTGCTCTCGGACCCCACTTTGCCCTATAAGCCTGAGTATAAGAAAGAGACTTATATGAATTATAATGTTTCAGATGAATAATGCAATGTTATTTATTTTAACTCTACATGTATTAAATTTGAAAAATCATGGTGATGTCCATAGGAATTTATGTAAGCCTTTCCCAAATAATACGATACAAGATCATAATTCTTATTAAACTCTTTTACAAACTGTGCAGGTTGTAAATAAATAAAATGCAGATTGTGGATCGTTCTGGATGAAAGCAGAGCAAATGTTCCTAGCTAAGCCTGGTAATTTAGCTGTCTTTTGGTGTCTCTTTTTTTTTTTTTTTTTTTTTTTTGCTTCGAAATTCAACTTCTTCTCTCTGCCTACATTGCTCTCTCTCTTTGATGTAGTAGTTTCTGGCATATTGCCTTTTGCAAAAGAACAGTGAGGATGGATAGAAAGGAAGAAAGATGTATAAAGGGCAACCTTGAAACAAGTGAAATGTAAACTTTGATCAATAATAAGAAAAAAAGGCTCAAAGATTCCTCTACTAATCCCACTTAACTACTCTTAAAAGGGCAATCTTGAGCTAATAAAGCTTTCAACTTTACGAGGATCGTCTGGGGATGTCGATCGTACATAGTCTTACTCTTGCTTTGTAAAGAAGTTATTTTCATAATTCAAACATGTAACATTTCGGTTCTAAAAAAGCAACATTTCTATTGCGTAAAAACTCGTTAAACAGCATCAACTTCTGAGAAAAGTTTTCTTTGTGATGCTTTTCTTTATTGCTTTTGTTGGGCGTTATGGGACTTTTGGTGACTTTTTATACAGTGGGCAACTTTTCATATAAAAGTTTAAAGTAAAATAATTTCATGCAAATTCAAAGTTTATTAATTCTGCAGTTCCAATCTTCAATCTCAGTGCTATGGGCCTGGTTTAAGTGTTAGCATCTGAGCAAAGTAGCTTTCTGCAATCCACCAACTCATATTTGATTCTGCATTGCTCTGCCTAACATTCAAGAACAAAGAATTGGTCAAGAAAATGAGGAAATTGTTTACCGTGAAGGTGAGATCAACACTCGGTGTTACTACTCATCCACATATCATAATATGAGCACACGACAAGCTTGATATGTCTTGAACTTAAGTTGTATAATATTAACATATAAATATACGTGTTATAACACGATTAAATTAGTGATACCGATATAGTGTCATACAATTACGCTAAAAAACTTACCCAATAAAGATAATATTGGATATAAGAAATATTTAATGACGATCCAAAGCAACAATGATTAAGGCAAAGTTGTCTGATATAAAATGCTTTCAGTACAAACGACCAACTAATATTTTAAAAGCACAATTAGGCGTGGATTCAAATTCAATTGGCCAATAATTAAGAAAATAAGAGTAAGATTAGGATGCCACTAGACTAAGTAGAATATATATTCATCAACCGTGCAGAACCTTCCCTCTCTCTCTTTCTCTCTCTCTCTCTTACATGGTTTGTGTCCTTCTGATGTTGCTTTTAGCCCCTAATAGGCTGTAGGAATTTTCATTTCTGTCCTAATCTACTTGGACAGAATTTTATGAACCTTCCTATGATCTTTATCTCAACGATTGCCATCGAAAAGTCCAATCTAATTAATCCACGTAATATGAATATATGCGTGTACACACCTTATAACTTTAACTCCTGCTTTTAGTCTCTATGAGTTGACGACAACATGAATATGCATGTAAGCCAGTCGCCCAACCCAATTTATTGAGTGCATTTTTCTAGTCACTGCTGAAGGTTGATAATATTCATCATCTTATTTATTATTTTGAATGCATTTAAATTTAAAAATTTGTATTTGTACTATACAGATCTCAAAATTTAAACTCATATAAACATAATACATAAGATAATAACTATCACCGTTACTTAGTTTGTCCTTTCCTTTTGGTCTATAGCGGGATGTCCTAAGCTATGCCATTCTCCACTAAAGCAGTCACCTCAAGTCTCCCTCCAGTGCCCTTTTCTTCCCTAGAAAATTCAATGGGCAAACAAAATCAGTGGTGGTGAGCAACTTTTGGAGATAAGGGACGAACACCAAAAGGAATCAAAGTCTCCCTCACATGCTGGATGATGTTTAATATATAATTAAGTAGGAAGCGGATTCCAGGTAAATGACTGAGTGATGCGAATTTGACTCTCTCATCAGTCTTGCTTTCCGGTGTTTATTTATTTAGATATATTTTTATACAATGGTATTATATAATTAAAAGGTGGAGAAATTACTATCTATCTAACCCACTAACACTATAATTCTATTAAAAAATAAAATGAAAAAATAATTCAGTATTGAACTCATCATTCACGATATTTAAAATTGGAACTTCACATACTAATGAAGATGAATAAACTATTTTTTCGTTCTTTATAATAATATATAAGAGAAATTCTATTACATTTAATAAACTACTAGCCTTCATGCGCGTGCCGAAGACATTTTTTGAATTATGGCGTACTACGCGCTACTTACACATTTTAAATGTATTTTTGCGTAAATTGACAAAAGAAAAGTTAAATATTTGAAGTAAATGAACAATCTTGGATCATGCTAGAAAAAACCCCTCATAAACTAATTAAAGCAGATGAATCATATAATAAAATCGGTCTCTATTGAATTTATATTAAAAATAGAGAAAATAATATTTAATAAACAATTGATTAAATCACATTATTTCTAGCTCATTGTGAGACTAAGCCCACTCATTTCCCTTAATATAGATAATATCGTTTGTTCAAACAAAAAAAAAAAAAAAACATTTGACAACTAATTTAATCACATTATTATCCGTGTGGGAAAAACATTTTTTATAACCGGCATTACAGGCCTCTTAAAATGTTTTGAACTTGTTTAAAAATAGAGAAAATAATATTTAATGACCAACTGATTGAATCACATTATTACTAGCCTATTTAAAACCTACTAGCATACAAAGTACTAGTGTATGTGAGACACAATTCAGAGCAAGTCTATAGCAGTCAAAAAGGAAAGTTGCTACATAATTACACCCGAAGGTGACCCTACAATGGTGAGTGTCTGTCAGAAATGCCGGGACGCCCTCTGGGATAAACCACCGAACTTGCTAGACCGCTAGAACCTGGAAGGGCGCAAAAACAAAAGCGTGAGTGGGCAAAAACAAAGCTCTTTGAAAACTCTTTAGCAAAATACATTCTAACCCCTCGCCGTAAAACCTGTATACTTCCCAGAAAATGAACATATATACGTATGTATAGGTATGCCAATCATGCTCCACCATATGTCATTCATGCTCACAATATGCCATTCATGCTTGAGAATATGCCACCACATAATCTCATAATCAAATATAAATGCTCAAGCGTAATTCACATCAATAACATATAATCTGGCAGCCGGGAGTCACCTAACGTGACATGTACCGCTGCATATAGAGCTCCACTCTCAACTCAACATCTGAATCTGCACACGAGTCGGAACCACCTAACGTGGTCTGTACGACAGGACTGGGTGTAATATATACGCTCTAGTGCTACGATCACGTGAAGACTGTGCGAATAATCGCGGGTCACCTACGAGTCGGAACCACCTAATGTGGTCTGCACGACAAGGCTTGCACCTAACTTGGATCCAAGGCGAGCGTGTGGTGCGGGTGAACATCACGTGAATGACTCTGCCCCTCTCTGGGCGGGAGCACTAACACCGGGGGTGCAGATTATGAGCTCTCTAAGCATCTCAAACTATTATTGCATACAACATGAATACCACTTACCTGTGCGTCCACAGCACCAAATACACATTTATATATATGTATGCCACTACTAATACATGCGATGATGCGTAAACAATATTCATATGATGCATGACATAAAACAAATAATCTTTTCTATTTAATTTCTGGGAATTAATATGTATATAGGTATATACGGAAAACAAAAGCCCACTCACTGATAAGTGGAAGGGTCGTAGCCCCCCTGCCTCGAGTGTGTACGCTCGTCCTCGGAAAACGAATCACCTATACGCGGAAAAGCTACGAAAACGTTAATTTAAAAGCACATCACCAACTTCTCGTAATAACTTCTCATACATTGCTCAAAATAGACAATTGAATATACCAACGTGCTCTACACAACCTCAGGATCACACCCATATTTTTAAAATAATTTTTGGACCACGCACGCGCCCCCACGCGCCTTCCTAGGCACGGACCCACGCGCCCCCACGCGCGGCCACGTGACCTGCACACTGACGGCGTCAACTGACGCCGTCAGGAATATTCCGTTAAACTGACGGAATATTCCGTTAACTGACGCCGTCACTGCCGTTAGGAATATTCCGTTAAACTTAACGGAATATTCCCCTTCCTTCTCCGGCGAGACTCTGGCGCCGTCGCCGGCGTCGGAAAACTGGGAAAATTTCAAACTTAGTTTTCTCCTTCGTTTTTCAACCATTTTTCACGATCTTTATACCAAAATGAAGCTTAGGACTAGTAGACTCACGTTAGACTAGTTTTAAGGCCTAAAAATTAAGGAATTATACCTGTCTTCAAACTTGAAACTCGGCCAACTTTGAACAGGACGATCCCGACGTCCAAACTCGTCCAACGAAACACTCCCAAGCTCCTGGGAACCTCACAAACACAACTACAAGCTTAGAATTTCCTAAAACAAGCTAGATTAGGTTTGCATGAACATTACATAATTCGGCCATGGCGATATCGACGTGAAAACAACTATACCCTTACCTGAAAATGGTACCTCTGAACTCCTCTCAGCCTCACGAGCACGAGGGTGGTCTTGGTTTCTTGATTGGTGAAGATTTGATTAGGTTTGTGTGTGTGTCCGTATGTTTGAAGAAGGAAGAAGAAGAAGAACTCGGAGAGAGTGAGAGAGAGAGAGAAAGAAGAGACAGGAAATGAGGGAATCAGGGAGAAAAAGAGAGGGTATGAGTGTGTGTGGTCCTACCACACCACACAACACACACTAATGGGATAAAAACGAACTAGGGGTATAATCGTAAATTCACACGTACGTTAAAATGAAATTTGGGACGGGATGTTACATATATAGATGTATATACATGTACAATATAATATGTGTCTGCAGAAAATCATGAATGATGAAAGCATATTCTACATAAGGTAGAATCCGTGTCCGACATATGCTTAACAAATAAAGGGGACAAAGATAAAAGCAGTCACGGAGGGACAATAGTTGTGACAAATTAAGGTGGCAGATTAGAATAAGTTTGATTGATAAGATTAATCGGTGAATTAAGATTTAATTAAATCCAATATCAGTAAAAGTAAACTTTAGACTAAAAATCATTAAGTTAGAAGAGTTTAGTTGTGTGATCAAAAGGTTTAGACTAATATTATGTACAAAATCAAAGTGACGTGTCATGGACGGGACAAAAGGGTACTCCGCAACTGCCCACTGTTTTAAGTGGATGTCCAAGTTATGAAAATGACAAAGAAGCTGCCCACAAGACGATAAATAAAATAAGATAGAGAAGAAGAAGAAGAGGAGGAGAAATTCTTGAGGTAGACCATGGCAAACGCAAGCAACGGGAAGAGGATTCGCAAGAGAGGGATCGAGAAAGCAGCGAGTGTGTTTTTGTTATCGGCCGACTCATCATACATAAATTTTGTGGTGTATAAAAATTAGTGGGTAACGGTCGTATAAAACAGGTGGGTTCGTAATTTGTTCGCTTCTTATGTAATACAGATGATTCCAAGCAATGGATTGGTACTACATAGCTGTATCTGATGATGAAAGCCTTTAAGGGAAAAGATTCTTAATTTTTTATTATATAAAAATAGAGATTAGTTGTGGGGTCCACATCACATTGAATTTTAACGATTTGAACCGTTCATTTTTCAAGTTGTATCTCATAGATGATCCTTGCAAAATATTAGCCAAATCGGAAATATTTAAGACATCTAATTGAGTTCAAAGAAATGAACGAATACTTTGTTATATAAGAAACAATGAAATTTGATCTTAATAATTAAATAGGCAAATGGTTTCGGATTGAATTAAATTTTTGCTAGAATGATTTATGAATCGAGACTAACAAAATAAACGATTCGGATCATTGAGATTCGATGTAAAGTAAATCCCACACCAAATCCCCATTTAAAAAAATAAAATGAAAATCCCTTTGTACAAAGGGCCTAATCCGATGACTAACGCGGTATGCTAAACTAGGCCTATGTATCCAACTAACCCAAAACTTGGGTCGGGCCTAACTGACCATATAAACTTGGGCTGGGCCGAATGGACTCAAAAAGTAAAGAAAAAAAAATTTGTGGCCTAACTGCAGATCGTTTCCAACTGTATGACGAAAGTCCACCGGTTCAAGCAACAAGCTGCCACGTGTCGGATTTCCTCCAGCTTCCAATTTCGTCGGTCCAGTTTAAGGCGCTGAGGGAAATCGAGAGAAGTCCTTACTCGCGAAGCAAAGCATATTTCTGAAATCTCCCAAAAAACCAGAACCGGAAAGCGAGCAGCACAGAGATCCGATGGCATTGGAGTGGGTTGTCCTTGGCTACGCCGCCGCCGCGGAGGCGATCATGGTGCTCCTTCTCACGATCCCCGGCCTCGACGGCCTCCGCAAAGGCCTCGTCACCGTCACCCGTAATCTCCTCAAACCGTTTCTGTCGGTGGTGCCGTTCTGCCTTTTCTTGCTCATGGACATCTACTGGAAGTACGAGACTCGCCCGAGCTGCGATGGAGACTCCTGCACTCCCTCGGAGTACCTCCGCCACCAGAAGTCGATCATGAAGAGCCAGCGCAACGCGCTCTTGATCGCCGCCGCACTGATCTTCTACTGGCTCCTCTACACCGTCACCCACCTCGTCGTCCGCATCGAGCAGCTGAACCAGCGCGTGGAGCGCTTGAAGAATCGCGACTGATTCCACTCGGTTTGCATTTCGATTTCCAAGCTTTTAGCTTATTTTGTGTTTCGATGATTGATTATTTGGATTTCGTTTATATCGGATTTCGGAATTTCTGTGTTTAATCTGGCACTTGGAAATTACTAATCCATCTGTGAATTTCTGGGTGTTGCTAGTACGATTATCTGATATCAATATTTGAGTCGTCTTCATCTACATACATTTTTATTTGTTTGTTTTTTTTTTTTTTTTGGAGACCGAGTTTAGATTATTTGGATATAACTTGTAATTTAGGTATTGATTAGTTTAGAACTTTAGATTGCATTTGGATTTGTGAGGATGAATGAGTGATTATGGCTGTAAGTACCCCCAATTAGGTGTTTAATAACTTTATAAATTTTTTCATGTGTGGTGATCCAGTAGTTATTTAATTTATAGGAATCGATCGGGAACAAACGCGTACTGTGACTGTCCTTTTTCTATTGAATTGTTGATCTGGATAGACTAGAGATTAAGGTGCCATAAATAACAATAAGCACTATCCGTGTAGCCTGTTAACATTTTCCGTTAGGCTTCTGTAACGACTTACTCTGTCTCTTCCTTTTGGTTTTAGCCTGAACTTAGTTTCCGTTCACTCGTTAAGCTTGTGCTGATGGAAGGAACACATTGGATGTTCTATTAGAATTGTGTTATAACCATAGAAGGCATCGTGGTATGGATGTAGAAGGAGGCCACAAAACTGGAGCTTGGCCTCCTGCTAAGCAAAGAGGCCAAGCATCTAATCTAGCTGGCTGCTTAGGGAAGAAAGGGGGCAGTCTAGGACAGCGGTCGGCTGTGTCAAACACACATTGCTGTTGTCTGCATTTGTAGGGTTCTAGTAAACCTAGCGTAGAGGTAAGCTCCCTGAGCGGAGTCATCCCCCACACATCATGTATCGGTCACGACCCTCTCCATTTGTAAGGAGCTAGCTTCTGCTGTCTGAAAGGTGGAAAGCGATTTTCTTTCAGAAGAACATTGGAATTCAGTTGCTTTCTTACTCATAGGTCTCGGGTTGGAGCTTGTTGGTTGGGGGGTTCTGTTCTTAGCAAACTGGCCCTGGAGATGGCCATGATTTCATAGCAAGTCTATGCATGATTGTGGATTTGTAATCAAATCCTTGTTTTTGTTATAAGTTATAATTAGTTCTTGTCCTAAACCCTAAAACTGTTTAGATCCTGCCCATCGCCATGAGTCTGATCATCTTGACTGGTATCACCACTCCAGTTGCTATCGCTTCTCTTCGCGCGCCCAATACTCGGAACACCAGGCATTGTATAACTCCCTATCCAGGCGAGGAAGGTTTTTCTTCTTCCAATTTACATCAGGCTTATCGTCATGCTTGTGTGAATGATTGCTCGTGATAATCGGTGGGAAGATGCATGGATAAATACGTTGGCCGGAAAAGTATGTTCCTTTGGCCTTGACAGCACAGAGGAATTCATTGCCGGAATGGCCTGAGATGGACACTCGGAACACCACTACACGTAAACGCTACAGTTCCGGGTATTCAATGCCAGAAGAAAAAACAATGCACATAAGGCTGTCGTCGTCGATTTTGGTGTTGAATGGAAAGCAATTGTCTAGAGGAGGAGGAAGTATATGTTGGAAAATATTAGTATTTAGGTTTACTTTAATGTTGGTTTTTTGGGCTTAGCCTGTTAGCATTAGGGTTTCATTTTCTTACCTTTTAAGGTTAGGGTTAGTTTATTATAAATAGCATTCTTCTTTTCTTACCTTTTAAGGTTAGGGTTAGTTTATTATAAATAGCATTCTTATTATTCAGTTGAAAATAAGTTAGTCATAATGTAGTCTCTTGGAGTTTCGTAGTCGTTTCAGCATTCTTGTTTGTCAAATTATATTCTATTTTGTAGTCTTGTTCGTAGCGCACTCTGATATTCAATCGTATCTTCTCAAGCTCAACTTAGCTTCTGAGCTAATCCATCACCGAGTTATTTTGTGAGGAAGAAGACGATTCGAATTAGTATGGCTGCACCTCATGCTGACATTGATTTAATCTTTTATCTTCTGGATTTGGGGCTGTGGTTTATTGAACATGAACAAGTTTACACAGAAGAAATTTATGTTGCGTCGAGATGGCAGTATCGATTTCAATACGCCATCATACATATGCCATCGATGTGCACGTCAATACGCCATCATGCATAAGGTCGGCGTCCTAGAGAATATTTTTAGCTTCATTCTTGATTACGAGTATTTGCGGTGAAGAAGACTAACTAAAATATAAACAGAAGTATTAAATAAATTCCATAAAAGAAAGAAGTATTGAATAACTTGTAGGTTAGAGGTTTAATGTTTAAATCTCTTAAATAACGAATGGCGAATTCGATACTAAATTAAGTTGTGAATGATGTGGTTTAACCGAATTAAAAATAAATAAATAAAATAAATAAATTGACAGGGAAAGAAACCCGCCTGTCAACAAGGTCGCAAGGGCGTTTGGCGGGGAAAATTATCCAACAAACCCCGGCCAAGCGAGCGAAAGTCAACCAGTACAGTCCAATCCAATCCAGACCGCCACGCTTCCCCCATTCTTAATCCACGCTTTTCCTTAGGCTTAATCCACTCCCCCATTCCCTTGATCAAGAATCCCCCTTTCTAACCCTAATTTCCTCTCCCGATTCCGCTGCGCATCAATCGTTGACTTGATTTAGCTCTCTTCTTCTTTCATTAACCGACATGGACGACATGAAAGACAAGTTCAAGGGCTTCATGAAGACCACCTTCTCGTCTTCCTCCTCCGCTAAATTCAAGGGCCAAGGCCGAGTCTTGGGATCGTCTTCTTCCTCCGGCACCGCCGATTCGGTCCTCACTCGCCCTAAGCAGACTCCCCAATCCAATCCCAAACCCCTTCCCATTTCGAATTCGAATTCTTCGGTCGCCTCCCCAAATCCCAGGCCTTCGCCTCAGAAAGCGCAGATTCTTGATCAGAAGAAAGCGCAAATTCCTGACCAGAGCAAGGCGGAGCCGTCGAGCAATTCGAAGCCTGATCGGAAAACGGATTCTGGGTTTGATCCGTTTGACTCTCTGATCACGCCGGGGAAGAGATCCCAAAACGGGTTTACGCTAAATGTGTTCGAATGTCCGATTTGCGGGCAATCGTTTAGGTCGGAAGACGAGGTCTCCGTACATGTGGACAGCTGTGTTAATGCTCCTGTGGAGCACAAAAGTGTAGAGGGTGTTGGCGTTTCGGGGTCGCCGGATAACGGGTCTGAGTCGTCGAGGAGTGATTTGGAAGCTTGCATTGGTACCTTTGCTTCGGGAAATCCGGCTGCAGGGTCGGTTGAGGTTGTTCTTAGGCTGTTGAGGAATATAGTTAAGGAACCGGAGAATGTGAAGTTTAGAAGGATCCGGATGAGTAATCCGAAGATACGGGAGGCCATTGGTGAGGTTGTGGGAGGCATTGAGTTGCTGGAGTTTGTGGGGTTTGAATTGAAAGAGGAGGATGGGGAGATGTGGGCATTGATGGAGGTTCCTAAGGAGGAACAAATTAGTTTAATGAAAAAGGCAATAGCATTACTGGAACCCCCGAAGGTACAAGAAGTAGACCCTTTGCCATCCATTGCTTCACTGAACGTGGATGAACCAGTTGAACCAAAGAAGGTCGACAGGCAGGTATGTTAACTCTTTATGCTGTTTAGCGTATTAACTGTCAGTCTGTCGTTGGTTGCTTGTTCATTCTTGTTTCATCTTCTATGGCAGTCTTAGCATGCTAATAATCATTGATCATTTACTTAATATATCTTGGAATATCCTTCCCAAAAGTTATAAATGTTGTTATGATAGGATTATAGAATTTCAGTGTCGATGATTGGAAAGCAATACTATAACTCGAAGGTGACCAAAACCTTCGGTAGCTACTTCTAAATTTACATGGGATCCCTGAGTTAATTGCTCATCTTGAGACTTGCATTGGTCAACTAGGCTGGTTTCAAAGTAGGCTGTTAGGCAGAATATAAAGAAGTGACTTCTTATCGTTTGATAATATAGTTTGTCCCATTCCATTTATTCACAAGAAAATCAAGGACACACTCTTGAAGAATTCGATGTTGCATTGTATGTTAAATTTTAAACCAAAAGTTTATTGGTAGAATCCAGTTAAATGATGGTAAAAGCACTGCAGCCCAAAATTCCAGTGAAAATGATGTGTATTATAGAGAAAATTTTCTATAATCCAGTAAAATGTGTATTAAGGTTCATCTTGACGTTTAAGTAGTTGGAAATCAGATAAAATGTTCTGGTCCAGTGTTCTTGATAAGAAATTTTCCTAAATTTCTGGCAACCATTGAAATGATCAAGCTGGTTACAGATCAGTGCTTATTTGAAGTGTATTCTATCTAATAACCTGAGTGCTTCCTTCGTTTTTTTTACCATTGTTTTTTTTTTTTTTGTACCATTAAAGTTAAAACACATACCCGTATTTGTTATTGTGGGATTCCTTCGTTTTGTAGATAGTGCTTCCTGTTTCAGACTTATGTCTGATTCATTTTCTTTCAATTAACTACTTGTGGTTTACTGAAATTTGTTTCTTGTGCAGACGAGGGTCTTCTTTTCGGTCTCTGAAAGTATGGCAGCAAGAATTGAAGTACCAGCATCTTTCTACAACCTCACAGCTACGGAGCTGAAAAGAGAAGCTGAAATGAGAAAGAAAAAGATTGAAGATTCACAGTTGTTGATCCCAAAGTCGTTCAAGGAAAAGCAGGCAAAAGCCGCTAAAAGGAGATACAGAAAAACTGTTATCCGGATCCAGTTTCCCGATGGAGTGGTGCTCCAGGGTGTTTTTTCTCCTTTGGAGCCAACTAGCTCATTATACGAGGTTAGTCTTTTCCCATCCTCCTAATCCTTTGATCAATTGTCATTCTAGAGTCTAGTTTAGCAAGTTTCATATGGTATAACAGGGTGTGATAAATATTCAGTAAGGAGTGTGCACGTATATGTAATATGTATAGATATGTTGGAACAAGTTTCTGCTTCTTTTTTCAGCTCTCATAGTAATTTTCCAAGCAAACAACTATAAAAATCTGCATCTTCTCCAACTTTTTAGTATTTTGTGTATCATCCTGCATAGTATGTTTCGTTTTTTTATGTTTGAATAAAGATGTAGCCTTTGATGTCTAAAACAAGTTTTGCTTGGAAAATTAGTATGCATCCAGCTCAAA